TTTGGGTTGTTAACAGTTCGTTTCACTACATTAAAAGAAATATTGTTGTGAACTCTTGAGTAAATTCTGTTTCTCCAGTTAAATTTTTGATTTATGGTTCGATATTTATGCATCCATCCGCTGATTCGGTGGGGGGGGGGAGGCACACTTCAGTTTCATACTTAAAGTGAATCGGAGTAAGATGGTTTTACTTTGAAAGGTGCTGGATTTTAGGGGCTATGGAGTTTGTAAACCCTACTTAGTAACTATAGCCGTTGTCTGTTGCTCTGATGACTTTAGTTGCCATTCACCATCCTGTAGGATGCTTTTCATATCTTACCTGAAGTAGTTTAGAAATGTCAGGATTTTTTTGGGTGTCAGAAACAAGAGACAGTATCAAGCGATGGATCTTAAAGTGGGGATAATGTGGTACAATTGGGTGCTAAAAATAGAACAACTAAAACCATTTGGACAGTAATTGTCAGTTTTTTTTCCATGAAATAAATGCTTTAGCAAAATCTTAAGATTAGCTTAAATGCTGATACAGAGGCAGTCCAGTCTTTTTTTTTTTTTTTTTTTTTTTTCAAGGAATATATACATACATACAGGCTTTGGCTCTTAAAAATACATGATAGTTATATAACAGATGTATGCTATCCTTGGCATTTTTTTCTCAATCAGCATCAAAAGTCTTAATGCTTTTTGTGTTTTTCAGATTCTCTGAAGTTACACTCATCACAGAATTTTCATAGAGCTGGACCATTGGAAGGTCAGCAGAGTGCCATTTTAAAGCATATTGTGTTAGTGTGCAAAGGCTTTCCTTGAAGTGCAGTATAAATGGGAAAGTGTAAAACTTTGCAGACTCACACAATGTAATTTCTCTAAAGAGCCTGATCCTTCTTTTAGAGCAGCTAAGTGTTTCTTTTAGTGGACTTTGTTGCTGTGTTTGAAGTGCTGTTGTATCTACTTGGAGAGGCTGTGGGGAAAAAAAAAATAAAGAATCATTTTAATTATGTGTTGGGTGTTCTACATTAGAATTCCAGATTTTAAGTCTATCCTTTTTATACACAAAATGAACATGAAAAGGCTCAGACATTAAAATGATGAATAACTAAAAGACTGACACCGAACACATACAGTATTTTGAATGTAGAACTTTTGTATGTTGAATATTTCAAATGATATTTTATTTACAGAAGTGTTGATGGTTGATGTCATTATGATTATATTTAAGGATAAGAAAAGCTAATAAGTATGGCTGCGGCTGTAGATTAGTGACAGTGCTTGCCTAGCACACAGAAGGCCCTGGTTTCTGTACCTAGTATCACCAAAAAAGAAAAAAAAATAAAGCTAAGTAGTAAATGAGGATTACACTATATTGGGGCAAAAGTACATTAGAATGTTCTGGAAATACTAAAATCTGTAGAACTGACAGTTTAGAAAACTTTTCTTTAACAATTTAAAACAGAATATTTGTATTTTCCCTGTGGACTTTGTAGATTTTACACTTAGCTTTTCTGAATCTTATAATTGTGGAACTGGACAGCAAGGATATCAATTTTCCCTTTACTAAAATGATAAACAGGCTAACATTAAGAGATTGGGTTGGCAGGGAGTTCCACAGTAGCAGAAACAATCCTTTCTGTGTTTCAGTTAGTGGTCCTTACATAAAGTCAAGCTATTACTGTGGAATATATATAATCAGTAACTTAAATATTTTGTGGCTCATTTAACAAAGGCCCTAATTAGTTATGTTTGATTGGAGTATGTTTTTGCCTATCTTAAAGGTAGTTAGGGGGAGTGGGTGTTGTAATTGAGTTGAGATTTGAATATCAGTTTAGCAAATTAGTAGCTCTGTGACCTGGGCAAGTAATTTTACTTCTTTAAACTTTTGTATTCTTTGTATAACAATAGGTATCTGTTAAGTTTAGTGAGCTAATGTGTACTAAGGTACTTAGTATGATGACTTGCTTAATAATTTTTTTTCTTTAATGTCAGCTAAATTGTTTCAACAGTGTAATTAGATCATATAAAAGTTCTCAATTGTTGATTACATTTGTTCATATGGGAAGCCCCAGCTTTACATTAGTATGAAAATAAAGTATTTTTATAACTGCAGTCTGAAGAGAGAAATGTTTAGAAGTTTCTTAGTGAAGCAAATTTCTGGTTTTATTTCTTTTGTTCAATTTGTAGTCATGTTGTAGAGTCATTTGTATGTACTGTTCCATCTATTTCCTGGGCAGCAAACCAGAGTGTCATAATCAGAGATCATCAGGCAGGAAAAAGACATGAAAAAAAAGTGTAACCTATTGAAATTTTTTAATGAGACAATGGAAACACACAACCATTTAATATGCATATTTACTTACTTGTGCCTATATTTGCTAATTTCATTTTGGTTGAAAGGATACTTAGTAGTTTAAAACCATCCTTTCATAGGTTTATATAAAATGCAAAAATATGTATCAAGTTTGTCATGTCTACTTAGAATTTCTGATACAAATGTGGTCATTTACTTGGTTTTTTTTTTGATATCAGGGATCAGACTCAGGACCTTGTGCTTGTCAGGCAAGCGCTTATGTTGCTGAGCTGTCTCCCAGGCCCCCAAAAGTTTGTTTTAATGAAATATTAATGTATGCCACAGTTTCTTTTTAACCATAATAGTTTGGACATCTTAATACATTAAAATTGGGAGAATAAAACAGTGAACCCCCATGCTCATCACCACTCTTTAGCAATTACCAATCTAATCTTGTTTCTTTTGTTCCTTTCCCCTCCCTCCACCTAAGTCATTTAAAAAGAAATATAAGTCATCATAACACATTTTACACATGTTTATTATAAGCACTTTTTTTGTGTGACTCTTAAGTACTGAGGATTGAACCTAGGGTCATGCTGCTGGTAGGAAAGTATTCCATCATTGAGACGTACCTCCATCCTGACTTTCTTTTTATATTACATTTTCAGAAAAACTCATTTTATTCCAAAGTTACATTTTCTCATTTATTTTAATGAAGTCTCTCTATTATGTAATACCAAGTATTGTCTAATAATATGTATTTATGTATGCATGCATTACATCAGTTGTTTAGATTTCTGTATAATAACTCAGCCTAGAGTGAGAGGAATTTACTGATATGATAAATTTTGTTAATTATCGGAATAAAAGATTTTTAAAAATAGAAATTATTTTAATAGAACATTTTCAAATTTATTTTAGGGAAACAAGTTAGGAAACCTACAATTGGTTATATTGAGCTTTAGAAATAGCCTCAAAATATCTTCACTGTTCACTTGAGTGTACATTTAACTTATGTACTAAATGATGCTGGTCCTTCTTGCCACCACCTTTTAATGTAATGTAGTATTGCATGAGAATGGGAAAAAGAAGTCTAGCTTTAGCTAATTAATGGAAAAAACACATAGTCATGAAAATGTTCCTAATGATCCTATGTGGCACTCTTAATAGAAAAACAAAAAATGATGCCTTTGCAATTATGTTACCAATGTGTTATATTTTTCATACAAAGCATTCTAGACGAAAGTATACATACAGAATTCTTAGATTTTTAAAAAAAAAATTTTTTTTTAAGGGTACTGGGGATTAAACCTAGCAAGCTAGGCAAGTGCTTTTACCAATAGGGGAATACCTCCAGCCCTGCCCCCTTTTAAAAATCAGGAAAACTTTTTTTTTTTTTTGAGATAGGGTCTCACTTTGTAGTACAGGTTGGACTCACTGTGTATCCCAGGCTGGCTCGAACTCCAGTGATCTTCCTTAAGTGGTGGCATTAAAGGTATGCACCTCACCTGGAGGTCAGCATTTTTCTCCCTAATTTTAAAATCTTTATTTATTTGATACAGGGTCTTGTTAAGCAGCTCAGCCTTGTAGTGATCTTCCTGTCTCAGTCTCCCCAGAGATGGGATTATAGGCATGCACCACCATACCTGCGGTTCTGTCACAGCATGTGATGGAACTCGGGGTTCTTATGCTTGCCAGGCAGGCCCTTAGACTGCTGAGCTATCTCCTAAGCCAGCATTTTTTATATCTTTTATTTTTATTTTGTGGAACCGGGGATTGAACTCAGGCCCTTGCGCTTGCCAGGAAAGCGCTTATTCCACTGAGCCATCCCCCCCGGCCCCCTTTATTTTTGATTTTGAGACAGTGTTTTTGCTGATCACTAAATTGCCCAGGCTCAATTTGAATTTGGAATCTTCCTCCTCAGCTTCCCAGAGTGCTTGGATTACTGGTGGGTACCACCAATCCCAGTTCCCAAGCTTTAGTTTTTATTTGATTTTTATTTTGAGACACAATCTTCCTAAAATGATCAAGTTGACCTCCAGCCTCAGCCTGCCTGCTAAATACCTGGGATTATAGATGTGTGCCACTGTATGTGGCCAGATTTTTAGGGTTTTTTTGGTGAATTTTTGTATTTTCCCTGCCTTCTTTAGAGAACATGGCTATGTATATGTTTTGTTTTTTTTTTTTTGAGACAGTGTCTTGCAGACTGGGCTTGAGCTCACTTATATAGTCCAAGATGGCCTCAAATTTGAGATGATCTTCCTGCTTCAGCTCCTTGAGTGCTGAGATTACAGGTGTGCATCACCATTCCTGGTTTCATTTGTATATACTTTAAAAATTAAAAGGACTTTCAGTTAGGAGGTTCAAATTTGGACCTCTTAAAGCTAAGGATTTTCTTGAGGTGCTTGGAAAAGCCTAGCTACAGAGAAAACGTCACTATTTCTTACACATTCTATACTGAGAAATATCCCCCTCCCTTTTTTTTTTTTTTGGTCTTTTTAAGACAGGGTCTCACTGCAGTTCATGCTGGCTTTGAACTCACTTTGTAGCCCATGCTGGTCTGAACTAATAATGATCCTCCTGTCTCAGCCTCCCTAGTCCTGGGATTCTTTTTGGGTTTCTTTGCAAAACTGGGGATTGAACTCAGGCCCTTGAGTTTGCCAGGCAAGTGCTTGTTCTACTGAGCTATCTCCCCGGCCCTTAGTCCTGGGATTATGGGCATGCACTTGTGCTACCAGGCCCAGCCTAAAATACCTATTTTGACATATATTGTTTGTCTTACAAAAAAGCTAAGAAATAAAGCTAAGTGAAAGCAAACAAAGTTCATTCTAGGAATACAGAGACATGAGATAAAATGGTAGAAAAAAATCATAGTCCAGGAAAAATGAAAATATAAGGAAATACTAGAGAGATAAAAATAATAGATTAAATGTAAAAGTATAAGCGATTATGTGGCAGAGCGTGGTGGCACATGCCTATAATCCTAGCACTGGGGAGGATTAGGCAGGAGGATTGCCGTGAATTCTTAGCCAGCCTGGGCTACATAGTGAGTACAAGATTAGGCTGAACTACATAACAAGACCCTGTCTGTCTGTCTGTCTGTCTGTCTGTCTGTCTGTCACTGTCTCTCTTGCACCCACCCACCCATACACACAAACACACACACAGATTATGTAGTAGATCAAAAAAGAATGGTTAAATAAGAGCTGAGTGCCAACCTGATACAATATCTTATGATTTAAACATTTAAGACTAAGATTTTTAGAGACCTGCATCCCCCCCCCCACAAACCGGGTATTGAACTCAGGCCCTAGTGCTTGCCAGGGAAGCGCTTATTCTACTGAGCCATCTCCTTGACCCCTAAGATTTTTAGAGAAAATACTAAATTTCATATTTTTCTGTCAATTAGTAGACAGTAGCAGTTTTCCAAATTGTTGCTGCTATATTTCTTTTTTTCTTTTTTCTTTTTT